CTCGATCTTGAATGTAAACAAAAACAGCTTTCAAGCCCTGTAAATACCGGGACTGTCGAGAGGAGGGGTCGCACTGAAACCGTTAGGACAGTCGGAAAGCGTGAGTGCTAGTCACAATATCTCCAAATCAATTGAAACCTCGATCTTAAATGTAAACATATGGCAGCTTTCCGGCCTCGATAATTTATAACGGGACCTTCGAGAAACGGACCCCTGGTCACTCCAAGATGTTCCCGCAACTTACTCTTTGAGCTCTAGCCCTTTAGTACCCTCGAAACTCACAACTTATCATGCTTATCGATTTCATAAATTGTCGATAAAGACAAGAATTTGAATTAACTGAATTGGACAGAATCAAATGATACAATTTTTTCCAGTTTTCTTTATTAAGGAAAGTTTTCTAAAAATTGAAATTACAGCCGAAGAGTTCATATTGTCTAATATCAAAGAGGTAGCTCACTAAGATAACATGCAAATGAGAAGTTCACTGCATGCCACAGTCAACTGTGGAGGTATAAATTAATGTAGTTTCAATTTTTGACTTGCAGACCAAAATGTAACCGAAGGAGACCCCATTAGGTATTACATACTTGAAATATTACAAACTGACATTTTGAATCAGTTTCTTTTGGTAAAAGTCTAAGATAATTTATGCGAGGAAGGAACTGAATGCGTTGATAAGAATAATTCTGCCACCTTTTTAGACATTTTAATACTGTCGTGGGGATCCCATATTGCCATTCAGCTCTATTACAAGTTAAATTTCACTTCAGCTAAAGCTCTAAAATTTATTTATCTTGTAATTTGCTTTATGGCTGATGTAAAGGGCTGCTTAGATGCTTAATGCGTCGTGTTAAAAAGGCTGTGTTTTGGATAATGGACGATTCACAAAGAAAACCCGACAATTCATAGTATAAACAAATTAACAAGGTTTGAAAACACATAACTTTTTCATTTAGGTAATTATGGCTAACACATGCCGACTAATTGCTAATTATTTTCATATGCCGGTGAATGAATTATTTCAAATGACATAACCAAGTTCCTATCAATATTACAGACCATTAGAAGGAAATGTCCATGGAGGGGCTCCAAGATGTGTTAGATTGTATTAAAGTAAATGACGTAATCGACTATAAGAAACTACAGCTTTTTTAGCGTTCGTGGCAAAGAAAACTCTGTCGTTTAATTTCACACTCCAAAGCCTCAGAGAAATAAAATACTTTAACTTCTCTTTAGATCTGTTTTCTTGTAGCATTCCTTTTTTGAGATCTGAATTGTTTTGTTTTTGATCTGATCGTTGCTTAGTCGGCGTTTTGAATCTAAACAACTTCTAATGCCTCTGAAATGAGAATTCAATTAGCGAATTCTACTGCTTCTTGAATTAAAAGCCCGTATCTTACGGAACGGCAACGTTGGCTTAACTCACCGCAGTTGTCAGTGAAAGGAAAAAGAGGAGAAAGTGAAAAAAAGTAGAAATAGGAGGGAACTGTTAATAAACGAAACGTTGCAACAACTAGAAGCCAAATATCTTTCTGTTTTAAACGAAAATCGCGCATAAGATAGAATACAGTCATAGTTAAAGCAAGAAATTTTCTTTAAAAATGCCCCTGGCACTACGTTTACTCTGTTGATTCTTTTGTTTCCTTACCTCTTCCTGTCATGGTTATAACAGTTTTCGTAAATCAGTATTTCGTTCAGGAAGTTATAAAATTGATAGTAAATAAATTACAAACGTGTAAAAAGGGTTTTCCATATAAAGGTATTAAAAGTCAGATATTTTATACGAACAAACTGATGATGTTTGACATTTATTAGGTGACTTTTTTTCAGTGACGGTTAGATTAGTTATCGTGACAGCATGCATCTTGTATTATAACTTGGAGGATCATTAAAAGAAGTTGAAAATTGCATTTTTAAGTTGCTAAAGAAACACCGGTAAAATAAAAAAAACAACAACAAAATATTAAGAATTTAAATTTGCATTATTTGTAGACTGTGATGCTTTTTATTTTGGTTTTTGTTCTTCCAGTGAAGACTTTATAATGTCTTTACCAAGTAAAACTTCATTTTCGGGGTGATTAGCGCCTGATTTATACTATTACTGCGATGAATATTTTTTGTGGCTGCTCGTTTTAGAGGGTAGCCTAAAAGCGGTGCAGAAAGAAGTCGCAGCCTTAATCACAAGCCAAGGTGAAACTGATTGAAAGTCGTTATCCCTGTATGTTCATGTTTGACCTTAAAGCTTTAAGTGGCTAACGCAGGTAGTCGAGGAGAAAAGCAAATTCATAATCTCACACTCAAAGCGGCAGGAACAAGAAAAGCAATTAGATGACTTTCTTTTTTCCCACCCACCATGCAGCCAGCGAGACGCTAGTCTCATTTTCTCGTAATTAAAGTTTAAAAAAAACTAAACGTTTCTGTCGTAATTAAAAGTGAATTTATAATACAACTGACCGACCTGAATCGCACGGCGAACTATAAGAGACATTTATGTTATGGTCTAATCTTGAAAATACAGGTCTTTTTAGGGACAAGTATGAGATATTTTTTAAGCCTCACGCATAGTTGTTGTAAACCATTTTACTGTAAAATAAAGTTCAAGATGGTCTCCTCTGTCAATTAAGACTGCAAGCGCCCCGCCATCACCCCACACATCCGGTATCGCATGCTATAGGTACCCATTTGTTTGGACAGTTTACAGACACTGAGTTACCAAGGGAGAAAGAAAGGAAGAGCTAGTATTCAATGTTTAATCGCCGACCGGTTCTGGCGATCTTTTGTTTTTAGTTTGTGCCTTCTTCTTTTCCCGTGACGTAAACAATAATAATTACCAGTTTTCTCCAAAACACACCAGCAGTCATTTTCTTTAATTCAAAAATGTCTGCAACAGATAGACTATCAGCCGCCCAAATTTTCCTTCCGTTATTAAATTTTAAGAAGAAAGGTGAAACCAGTGAAAATTATAAACAATATCACAGGTATAAATAAAAAATACAAATTGTCGTTAGCAGTTTGGAGAAAGGTTTTAGAATTAGTAGTTATATCAAGGAAGACACCTGCACATTTCTAAAAGAAAGGCACGTCTGAGCTTCAAATACATAAACATCATTTTATAGTTTTTTTTCCTAATGCGTAAAATGTAAGCTACAAGTGATTTAAATTCAGAGATTCCACGCTTCTTTTTTTAGTCTTCTTTATCGCTTTAGGTCTGGATAAAGCAAGTCTAAAACATAAGTGTATTTTGCTTGCATCGAAAATATAGGTTGAGCAATTATGCAAATGATGATCGCTGATGAAGCAAACCACAATAGAAAATAACTCAGTGTCGTGCTCGTATAATTCATCTTCATCTTTATCACAAAACTTTGTTTCGGAAACAACAGGAATTTAAAAAGGTCTTTGAGATGATGAGATAGCTCATTGAAAGGGCAGTCATAAAAGTTTCAAATATAAAGTCCTCGTAATTTTACAGCCGAACGCTTTAACAAGGCGAGAGATGGGTAAGCTTTCTGACAAAGGACAAACGAAAATTGGAACTAAAATTGATCTCAACATCGCACCGCGTTAGAAAAAAAAATCGTAAAGCGTATTAAGCGGGAAACTAAATTAACGTGGTAAAAATTGAACCGAGCTGTGGATGGTAATCTATCCTGTTATAACTTGTGGCTGTTTTGTCAATTTATCAAGATTTTTAAAGTCGCCTTTATATCTAAAAATGTTAGCTTTAGTTCGTTGTGGCATCTACCCTGACACTGGGGGCCGTTTCACTTTCGTTTTCCTTTTTTTCTGACATCATGAAAGTGATACGACCAAACTGAATTTATATGCAGCAATTAAAGAATAAGGCTGCATTTGGAAGAAAATGTGCTTTTCCCTCTTTTTTATTTTCTTTCTTTAGTTTGGTCTGCCTACAATTCAGATTCAAGTCAAGAGAGGCTTTTAACTTGTTACAGTCTTCTTCCGTTAGCAGAGAACAAAAGATAATCATGAAGAAGCGAAATACAAAGATTCGCTTTCAGCAAACTGTTTCCATTTCACGGCAATTATTTCCTTTTTAAACGTACCTAGCCTAGACTCTGTTGAATTGAACACGGAAACTCCGTGTATATTTGAAGCGCACAAGATTTAAGAGAACGTTCTTCAATCTGGGGCCCGTAAATGAAAATCGAAATAACTGAACTGAGATGAGGAGAACAAAAGATAATCATCGTAAATCAAAATAAAAAAGATTCTCCCTTGGCATACTGTGGCATTTTGATGAAAATTTTTCTCTTTCCTACATAACGTAACCTATGTTTTGTTGAATTTAACTGGAAAGAAAACTGCGGTAGACGTTACGAGTTACCACTAGCTGCGCTAAATATGCCTTCAAAACTTTGTTCTTCTTCCACCAAAATGGAAATGAAAATTCGAAGATTAGGCACACTAAGACTGACGTTTCAGCTATAAAACGTTCTCAGTCAACTGCTGGGCAGAAATTAATCAAAGATTGAGTGACAACACGGACGTTTGAAATATATTCAGTTCTGGTTAGCCCTACTTCTTTCCCGACGTTGTTTGAATTATTACTATTAACGATTGTTAAACTGTATCAAGAGAAAGCGAAACAGTTTTCACTTTCACTCATCGGTTTATTTGTCAATATGTGTTTAATTACTTTCGAATCTTCTATCGTTTAGTGAATTTTGCCATTATCAACTTTTCGTGCGGTGGACCCTAAAATGCAAAATGTAAAATGTTTAATTTTCTTTTATTGTGAAATTTCATCTAATGGATGTATTTCGCTAAAGTTTGTAAAGTGTCTTTCTTATTTTATTTTAAAGCAATAAAAAGTGGCAACATAGAGTGAAGGACTCAAGCCCTTTTTGAACAATGCATACTGTGTATTATTTTATCTACAATCGGAGTTAGACGCCCCCAGTTCATGCTGTTTTTCCTTTTTGTCCAACAGATGAATTTACGAAGGATAATAAATTATTTAACTCATAAAAACAAACCTGGACTATGCAGACCAAATTTTGCTTTACTACATGGCTTATACCTTTTCTCTACTAAAATCCGGTTAACCTGCAAGTTTATATCCCAGTTTATATAGATTCTCGTTAATACACTAACCTACAAATCAGTAATACTCTTCGTATTGATTTGTGCAACCGTGTTAATGTTGATTGAAAGTCTTTGTAATGTGTACCATTATTGAAATTACGACTTGGGAATGCGCTTTAGATATGTTTGCACCTCAGGCCACAGAAGGCAAGGCAAAAACCAAAAAGGCTATTGAGTATTCACACGTTCATTAACGATCCTACCATTACGGTCCCTCAAAAGAAAACTTGCTAATTGCATAAATAAACATTAACGTTCACGTTAAAAAGAACGCAAGCTTTCATAAAGGACTAGACTTAAATGTTCTTAGTACATATTCCAAATTAATATCACTAACATTTATGTAATATAAAAGCCTAATGGAACTACTGAAAACTGCAGCAATTTATTCTCTGCTTTTCTATATTCGTGTCTGTACTTTTAGACTTCGCTTTATCTGGAGAGAGCGCACAAATAGCTTAAAACGAACAAAGCACTCTGACCAAAGTACGACTGAGGATTTTTCTTCTTTCTGTTCTCTTTCTTGACCTCAGGAACAAAATCCTATCATCTTTATTACCACTTCGGTAACGCATTCTAATATGTATAAAGAGGTCTTTAAACAATAGGATCCTTAGCGTTGACAGTCTGCACGGTTCTCTCTCTTTTTTTTCACGTCTCTTTTCCCTCCTACCTACTTGCCATCCTCAAAGTCGGTTTAATGATAAGAAGGCACGAACTCGAACGCAGACATGGACGACGCGTGCGACTTGGCTTTCATTCTAAGGGCCTCAAGCGCCATCTTGGGTTGCTCAGCATGACTTGAAAAGGCAGCACTTTGACATGGCCAGATCGCGCCGTTGTGCATTGGTATCTGTGAGGAGGACATATAACTAGAATTTGTAGCGTTAAGTGAAGTCAGTATTCCTGGATAGGTGTGATGATGAGCGCTTACAGGAACAGCACCAGGTAGACCGAGGAAATAGTTAGGAGGTGCACAAGGAATGCCTGGTCGAGGAGCGATAGGCAGGTGTGGGCCAAGCTTGTCGCTTGGATATCTCATTTTCTTCGCTAAGCTCTGATTTGGATTTTGTCTTTTTCGCCATTTTGCTCGTCTGTTTTGGAACCAAACCTTGAAAGGGAAAAATACAAACATCATTCATTTGAAAACGCCAAATCGCTTCCCAGTTTGTAATTAATGGAACGCACGCGTTCCCCAGATTAGTCTTTCTCCTCGTGTCAAGGCTTTTAGATGGCAAATATTAGGTTTGACGAGAAAAAATCACTTTGGGTAGAGAAGAATGCTCAAAGATGTATGTTTTAAATTTTTGAACGTGTATTTTTTGTTATTTGTGTACCTGAATATCTTACAGCATGTATGTTATGTTACGGATGTGAATGTTATTCTCTGCCATCAGTCCCTAGAAAGTAAAGCGATAGGTTCAATCTTTTCCGTTACAATCGCTCTGCCGCATGGCATTTCGTCCCGGACGATCAGGTGTTTACAATTTTTACTTTTATCACGGAAAAGCCCTGATACGTACGGAACGATTCTGTGAAAAAGAGCTTTTAAGGAAAAAAAATGTTACTTCTAGGTTAACAAATGTTGACAGTAAAAACTTCCGGTATTTGAAATAAGGACTGTTTTGTATCGGCGTTATTTGTGATTTTAAGAATGTTGATCTTCCGTTTATATTCTTTCATAATTTACGGATAAATTTCTTTGAACTAAACACGCGAAATCAGCAGAAAGGTTATGAAAATTTTGTTCTCCGTTAATCGTAGCAGTGTGAATGACATGTTGTTTTTTTCCTTTTTATCAAACCTTCACTTCGTAGAAACCTCAGAAAAGTAGCATCTATTCGTACTGTGTCATTATTGGCAATATCCCCCCACTTTTAAAGGTGGAAAAAAGGAAATTCAATTACGGCGAATTCACTGAGCTTGAAGGTATATCGACGATCACACAATTTTCACTAGTAATATAATATTGCTTGGTGTTTTAATACAATTACGATCCCACTATTACACAAGGCTATCGCTAACGACCACACCCGATCAATTTTTAAATTATTTTTTACAACATCACGATTTCGGCAGACTACCTTCATTGCTCGTTCCTGCACTTTCCATAAACTGCCCAGCTTTAAAACGCTAGAGATGATGCGTTTAATGATTATTAGTTACCTGGATTCGAGCCTCACTAATGTTGATTTTGGCAGCGAGGTCTTCTCGGAGAGCGATATCAGGGTAGTGCTTTTTCTCAAAGACTTTCTCCAGCTCCTGGAGCTGCTGTTTTGTAAATGTAGTACGGTTCCGGCGCTGTTTTCTCCGCACTGTTGCAGGACTTTCTCCGTCTCCTCCTTCGTTTTCAGGAGGAGGGGGAAGATCTGACGAGTGAGGTTGATAACTTCTGTAAACCAGTGAAGGATCTATTGAGGCAGGTAATTTAGTAGCACTGTTAGAGTAAGTCAGTCTCTTTAATTTGACATGCTTCGTTGCAATGCATGCCAAGTAATTTTTTTTCCCGAAGAGAAGCATTTCCAACAAAACTACAAATATAACATACTGAACTTACACTTTGAGGAATTGTTCAAGGTCTCTATTCCTAATACATCGCTGACTACATACTGGCTGTGAGGCTTTCCCATCCCAAGAGATTGATCCATTGTATTTATCTTGCTTTAGGTTTTGGCCTCTGCTGGATCTTCTAAGCTTGTTCAGTGGCGATTGATGTCAGTGCTGGACTAATCTTTCCAACTCGCTCCCTTTGAACTTATTAGCTGCCCGAGCTGATTAGGGCCTCGGCGCTAATTGTTTTTTAGCCGCGCATGCAGCTGCAGTGAAAATTTACCCTCATAGCAAAGCGCTGGAGCAAATTGAAAATTAATATAAGCCCTGTTTGAATGAATACAATGGTAAATTTCATTACTAATGCCAAAACTAGGACTCGAGGCACCTGCCATCCACACGCGTGCAGGCTACGAAATACCCTTGAAGGTTATTTGTACCCATCAAACATAAAGGCCACATCAATATCAATGCTAATGTTCTTTGAATAATAAGACAATTTTACTAATGATAAAACGACCGGTTATAAGATATCTTAACACTCTTTTGCACACCTCGTATATAACAACTAACAAGCTGCCTTTTTGCGTCTTCGGCAACCTTAAACAAATACTTGTAGCACTCGCAGAGGAAGTGCCGAATAAACAGGAATGTGCGAGAAATTTCAGTTCTCCACTTTACCTCACCTCACAACCGAATGGCTCCTATAATTTTTAATTAATCAGTATGAATATTGTTTAGAGCCATGCACTCAATTTGATTTGGTTTTCAGATGTAGCTCACAGCTAAATTGGGGTAGTTCGGCAAACATGATCGATAAACACGAACTGTCGAGAATCAGAACAATTTTAGCTTCCCTACTAATGCGCATTGTAATTTGTGAAATTAAAAAGAGCATCATTTCATTTATTAAAATAGTTTCTACTTTGTCTTGAGATCATTAAAACCGTTAATAGAGCTGCGAAAAATGAAATTGCATGGCGGTTCATTTTCAAATCTCACTGTCGTTATGATGAAATTTGAAATAAGCATGAATAGGAATATTCCAATTTCGGCGCCAAATAATTTAAGTCTGTTAAGGGATAAAAACAATTTTTAAAATGCCATTAAAATATGTTGAATATCGTTGAAAAAAAACAACCCACTTTCGGGTGATGAGACAAGAAAAGGATTAAAAATACGAAGCCGTATTTTTTTCCAAGCTTCAGGTGTTCCCTGAATAACAAACGTTTACAAAAATGCCAATCATGAAAAAAGAGAACGTGAGATCGCAAGCAAGTTTAAGGGTCGTTTTAGATGAAAGCGCCCCCATGACAAGAAAAGCAGATGTTTGCCGCTATTTTTTTTAATTTGTTGTGAGTCGCTTTTAGGTAAAACCTAGCCCTCCTCTATACTAAGACCTGTCTTGGTTATCTTTCAGGCGGCAATCTTGTATTCGCGCGATTTTGATGAGCAGGGTAACGCTTATATATCGTGAACCAGTACAAACAGTTAAAACAGCGATTAAGCTTGGTTTAAACTTCGACATTAAAATATTTACCTTAAATAAATAAGAACTCTATAATATAACAAGGCGTATGTTAAAAAATCGAAATTGAATGGTTTAGTTAAGGGCAGTTTAAAATTTCGTATAAACGTCCAGTGTGTGATGGATTATGTCAAAATTTTCTAAATTAATGAACCACTACCTCAAAAAACTTCATATAACTTTCTCTTTTTTTCAGGCCACCCGGCCTAGTAGAAGGTCATCTTAAAATTACTCCCAAACAATACTAAACCAATTCGAAGCCAATCAACGACTCTTTGATAAATAATTTACAGGTTCATGTAGCTCTTTGTTAAGAACAGAAGGTATTCATGCAACTATATTAAAATAACCAGCCAATGGTCCATAGAGACGCGGTCACTGTTAACTCCCATTTGTCATGATTGGTAAAAAAGTTAACCTTATTTATTTTAAAAGCCGTAGATATTAGATTGGACTAGCTACGATTAAATGCTTTTGTGGGGACTGTTTTCTTCTCAACGTGAAATTGTAGATCATAATTAAACTTTCGCTAGATTATCTGGTTTATTATATTTGGGCCTAGCACAGGTGATTGATGATCACCTCTAACATGTTTTGACTCGATCACTAAAAAGACTAAAAAGGTTGCCGATATCATCCACGATGAGAATCTTGTACCATTTACCATGACTTTGTTTCTTACATGAACACGCGACAGAAACATTACACACCATTCTTATCAGTCGCAAAGATAAAATTTTTATCTTTTTGGCTAAAGAAACCAATCGAATTGCTAATATTTACCAATGGGTCTTAACTCTGAACAGTAGAAGGGCTCCGCCGGTTGTACATTGCCAGCCTTATTTTTGATCTTCAGTTAAAGCAAAAAAAGAGAAAAAGAAAAAGAAATCCATTTAATTTGTTTAACCTGAGGCGAGTTTAGAAACATTCTGCGATCTTTTCATCCTCACATAAACACGACTTTTAACACGTTGTGAAGCATATCCACCCTCGACACTTGTTTTCCTGACTAACTTAATGTGTGTTTTTGAAAATTGAGTACGCAAGAATTGCCCATTGGAGAAATACAACCAAAGGTTAATATGCGAAACAAAGCGCTTTCAATAAAGTCACTGATTAAATGCGTGTTCGATTTCAAAACTACTTTATACTCCATTTCCAACGAGGTTCCTTCCTCGCCTTCGTGTTACGAGTTTAACGAAGTGTACGGATCCTACTACTGGGCAAACTACATTAGCACTTTTAACTCTGCTTGACAACGAAACTTTTAGACTGTCATTATGATAAGTCGCGACTATTTAACACCAGTTTCCAGCGATTCCTTAATTATCAAGGTCTTTTGTCCGAGTAATGTTTTCGCTTTCATTGTCAATAAACACAGCATTTTTATTAACGTCAGTGGAACACGTCAAGAATAATAAAAAGCTTTTGTTTTTTTTATTCCGTGAGGGTTCCAACAGAGTTGGCGGGCGGATTGTTAGAAAAGAAAAAAAAAACAAGGAAATCTCACTTTGAAACTAGGTTAATCTTTATTTTATGAGCCGAAGAGATAATAAAAGGATTTAAGTTCGTGGACTTAAGCTTTAGCAGATGCTTGACTGTTTAAGGCTTTTGCTCATGAACTCACTGCATTTTCACCCTCGTCCGGGACAAGGCAAGAACTCGTTTCTCAACGGAGACAGCTCACATGACAGTGTTAACAACAAGGAGCTAGGAACTGACTATAAGACTGAATTGCTGAGGACTCATGATCTTCAACGTACAAACTGTTCTCTTTTTTACCACACACGCGAGGACACGTTCATCAGTCAGGTGTCTAACGGAGTATAAGACGGATAACTTACAGATAAGATCTGCTATTTTGTGTTTGGTTTACTGCCTTTGATATAAGCGCAATCATTCTTTGTTAAACAAACTTGTCTTGTGATAACGTCGCGTTTTAATGTCGCAGTAAACGTATTTCTTGATAGTGCGAGCATCAACAATTGCAGAGCCTTGTATACGACACCCGCTCTACGTCATAAAAAGGTTATCTGAATTCTACTGAGTTTTAAATGTCAATAGTTCTATTTAAATCGGAGGGTTGGACCGTGATATATTTAACATGTACAGTCATTGTTCAAGTTCTTTTGGGATTAAACAATTAGATTTTTAATGAGATAACTTATGTACAGTGAACTTCGCGTGAACTCAAGATATGTTTTCGACGGGTACTGGAATTTAAAACACAATCTATAGTATCTTATAATTATCTAAAGGAGGAAATTCATCATTACATGCACTTGCTTGTAGGTGAAATAAGTAATTTTTTCCATAAAGAGGAACGCCGTATAAAACTAATTGGAGTAAGCATAAAAGAAATTATTTCTGATTATAGTATTTCTATTGAAAGCCATTGAAGTGAATGTCATTTTTACTCAGTTAATTACTTAGCTTCTCGAGAAGACATTCCTAAATTCTTTTTAATTTTAACGTGCGTCGACTGGCGTCTCAGTCATGGATAGAGGAGAGTTGTTTTCGAAAGGAACTCTACAAAATCTTAAATCTGATTAACGTTAAAGTTTGAACAAAACCACAAAATAGACACATCTGAAAGTAAAAAAGCATCTTTTCTTTCACTTATCATCTCCATTCATCAATATCATAATACACAATATGCTGTTAACTTGCAAAACACTTTAAAACATAAAGAATTGCCGGTGGTTGTAGTTAAAAACCTGCGTCGTCCGTTAGTGACATGAGTCTGTTAGTGACATCAAAATCTTAGTTTCTCTTGATAAAAACAAGCATCTGATTACTCCAAACAAAAACTGGAAGTAGCAGTGGCAAGTTGATATATGCCACTTTCATTATGATCTTCCTGAAGATTATAATTTCCTGGGGAAGTTGTAACTATTTTAAAGAAAAAGCAATGCAACGAAAACCGTGGGGCAAACTTGAAATTCACTAAACTAGCAAAACACATTAAAAAATGATGATCCTTTGGTACGAGCTCAAGCCAAAAGATCCTCAAAATTTTTTTCCTTGGTCAATCAGATATACACGCGTATGCTTTCTTGATCGTTACCAAGCAGTTCATTGTGGCTTTTGTAGAATAACAGTCAACCGTCTGTACATTACCTCGTGAAAGCACCAAACACAAATTGTTGTACTACTGATGTACTAATAAAAGTGACAATTCATTTAAAAAGACTATTTTAGAAGACAGCGAATTTCAGTAGTCGTCCAGCAGTTTCTGGAAAACACCTAGCGCGCCGATGGAGATAAGAAGCACGTGCCGGCTCTCTTATCTTAGGTTAAGTCACCTCCGTTGTTAGTAACGGCGTACATTCAAGCATACTTCTTTACAGAGAGATAGATAAGTAGGGTAGTATGAAAGATACGCACAAAACCTTTCAAACTAACAAACAAAAATGTTTACTACGGAAAGCACTTGCGCCTAATCATTATCGAAAGAACGGAAGAAGAGTTTTTCTACTAAAACCGACACCAAAGGAACAACACAAATTAGAGCTCTGCTAAATAACTTGTATCTGAATTTTCTTTTAGTTTGTATTTATCGACAGACTGATCATTAGACTCATTAATACATCCTTCACAAGACTTGACTTTTGACTTCTATTCCTAATAGCGAGTATCCTTTCTTTTCTGAGAACTTTTTATCTGTTGATTAAAACGTCAACTCGAAAAGACTTAAGCACGCTTTTCAGGGTCTGAAGATGAGATACATACTGTCACCGTTATTACTCCTTGCACGTATCGCAAGAATTCTCCCATATGTTTTGCAAAATGCACTAGAATTGTGAAGAGCACTCGCTAATGTAAAAATTGGGCAGAGCAAAAGGAGAAAGGCAACGATATTCTCGTGGTTTTCAAGTTGGGAGCAAACCTTAATCAACTGCAATCAAACTCAAAACTGACGCCTGTGCCAAGTGCTTACATATTGTGTTAAAAGGTGCCCGTATTTGTACAAACGATTACGGAGTCGAGTTAATTAAACTAAACTCCATATATTTCAGGATCGTTGAAGTTGAAATTTACAAGCAAATGACAGCCTGTTCAACATTAGTTGAGCAAGAACAATACCTAGTAGATTTTACTACAATCTTCAAGCTCTCTCTTTGAACAACACTGACAAATAAAAAGTTTCATAGAGGACGTGATTGTACCAGAACTTTCGTATTAGTAAGAGTTCGCCCGGTTCTCTCATTTTTGTGCATACATGTATACGTGAAACATGCAAAACTATCAAACCAGCACGGATTGGAAGTTTAGACCAAGTTCATTTAGCACCTTTATAATTATCCAATAAGAGAACATCTATCGTTTTTATGTGACGCGCTGTAAGGTCATGCGATATTAAAGGCAAGAGTAATCGGCCTAACGGACGCCGTGTCAGGACAGTATCGTTTTAAGTTTCTTTGATTTTTTGTTGGGAAAATACAACAGTGTAAAACAAACAACCGGGGGGTACTCCAGGGAATTCTTTGTGGGGGTGTGCCGCCCGGTTCTCCAAATCCTGACCCTATCTAAAACCAAAAAATTTGTCATTTCTCACACCCGTTCTCAGACCTGCCCTCTAAAGTCCATACCTTTTTTCAGACCTGGCCTCTAAGAAATTATGTCATCATTACTTAGATCAGCGCTGTAGACTAGAACGCGAACAGCAAAGATTTCGTAAAATCCATTTCGAGTTCGCACATTTCTCTTTCTTTCTTGTCCATTTGGAAATGTTCAACCGAAGTTCCCCCGAAAACCATACCCGATTCTCGACCAAAGAAGAGCAAAGTCTATACCCGTTTTCAGACCAAAACGGCGCAAAAACAATACTCTTTGAGGCGGCATATACCTATACGGCTTATATACGGGAGTACCCCCCGGGAACATACATCACTTCTTGTGAGTTCTAATGCAAGTTCTCTTTTATTATGACCGCGAATCTCTCATATATATAAAGGATTCTATGGACCGGGTGGACTGAGGAAACCCCACAATTCTGGATTCTGGGGAACCTGATTTTGCTTCTGCCCATGGACTAAAACGAAGATTCCTTTGACTAAAACGACTGATGCTAACCGCTGAGGGCAATGCCCGCTCCCGTAATTTGTTACGACGATTTAGGAATGTTATGGAGTTTCCTCTGCAGTATTTAGTTGTGATAATCAAGTCTATCACCTACCTTTCCTACAGGTTTCTTTGAAAATATTTTGCATGTAAAATAAGAGACCGTCTTTTCTCGTCTCGACGTCCCAATCCCCTTTAATATTGTAACGTAAAGTCGTGGTTTGCAATCGCGCTGGCTGAGATAAGAACTCGACGGATTTTAAGAGAAAAGGCGGATTGCAAGCAGTATAATGTCGACGCATAAAAAAGGCAATGGACTCCCTCCTCCCCCAAACCCCAACTACGCGCCCAAAACACGTTTGGTGAAGTCTTCCAAGACAAATCGTGTCATAAGCCTTTTTGATTGTCAGGTCTCCCGTGGCCACTCTGATGACCTCTGGGCTCGTTGCCTGCGTGCAGACGTCTCCTATTTCCTTTGCACGCAGGCAACTGGGCTCGTCACGCCTTCCTCTTCACGAGGGCGCATTATTTATGAGGGTGGGAGGGGGGAAAGTCCTCCCTTTTGTGACCTCTCTTGGCCTCTGAATTACGATCGGTGCCAGGAAGTAAATTTCGAAATGAGAATTCTGCATTAATGAATCACAAGAGAACCAGAAAAAAAAAATACCACAACATTCCCAAATCGACGTAACAAATTATGGGAGCGGGTGTTGCCCTCAGCGGTTAGCATCAGTCGTTTTAGTCCAAGGGGTTTTAGGTCTTCGTTTTTGGGTCTTCGTTTTAGTAACATCCCCTTTGGGGACACAGAAAAAATCTAAGCCCCAGATCGGATTCGAACCCACGACCCTCCGTGTTATACCGAGGCATTTTTTCAAACCTGACTAAGGCCCCGTCCACACGTATCCGCTTTTACTTGAAAACGGATATTTTTTCTCCGGTTCCGACCTACCGTCCACACGTATCTGGTGAAAACAGTCACCCAAAACGCATCTTTTCAAAAACGCTCTCCAGAGTGAAGATTTTTGAATACGTCGGCTTTTTGTTTACGTGTGGACGGACGAAAACGAAAACGTTTTCGAATATCATGATGTCATACATCATTAAATACATAATATACTTCAAGCATGACGCATGCTCAATAAGGGATGCTATCGTATTTCCATCGTTTTAGCGTTTTCGCGTGGACGGGGCCTAAGACTTATGTAATCCTCATGGAATTTTCCGGCTCAGACAGAAAAAAACGGAATGAAATGAAAGGCGGATTTTGCGTTATCTGCGAAGGTCGACCTAAGTATGACATGTGGTGTGGATGAAAGAGAAAGAACGCACAAAATGCATTGCTTGTGGCCCCCTCTTTAGGTTTTGATTTAGGCTCGGGGCAGAATACAGCGTGACCATTTTAGAGGCGGGTTTCTCATCCTTGACGAGACTGGCCGCGCGGTACGTTAACAGGGAATTTTATTGTCCAACCGTTGTGAGAGCACGTGATGTCACGACACGCTACGTCACAACGGTTAACCCTCCATCCCGCCTACCAACCAACCAACCAAACCACTTCAATAACATTCTTGTTTATTTAGCAAGCATTCAGTATTTACAACTAATTACAAAAAAACTAAAAGTGTACAACACATTTGCGTCAATAATCTTAAGATAATATTTGCTCAATTCTGTATCGGTTTTATCTAGAAAACAAACAATATTGAACAACGTATCGAAAATAGAATGATAACCTTATAGGTATCAGGAATTTGCCTTCACTGAAAAAGGAAACGGAACTAAACTTAACAAATATAATGAATCAAAACTATTTTAAGAAGGTTAGCCACCTCAAATAATCATTTTTATGAAGTCAGGAAAGTATCACGAATAAACCAACAATGCACAAAGAACCCTGATTTACAATGACACTGTCACAATAACGATGCTTAAGGAATAAAAATACGTTTTAAAAAAAGTATTTCAATTTTCATTATTTACGATCAAACAACACTAACAAAAAAACATTGAAAATTCAAGCATTTTACAGTTACACCTTCAGCCTTAAAACCATAAAAATCCTTAAGACCCACCATTTTCACCAGACAATTTTTTCGCGGTGCTATTAATCATTTTGTGTAACTTTTTAGTCTGAGGATGAAACTTTCAGCTTCACTTGTTGACCGTAAAAAGCTCAAGATTTCCCTTCCAGATGTGAGTCGACGCTTATTCTGGCGGGCTCACGTTTCAGCCACCTAACTAAACGCGACACCCCCGGCCTCGGTTGGAAATAATCAAAAGAATTAGATCGAAGTTTTATAGTGCCGAAGTGACCAAAACTTCTATAACTGGCCCTTGTAACTGGTCACTGTCTTGGAGCCGAACAAGTTTATACCTGATTTAATCAAAATCTTCAACTAAAACTAATTTTACCAACGAGAGAAACATTTGTCAGCAATCAGTAAAGAACAACAACTGGTTCGGAATTGAAAGGGATATTAAGACTCGATATAAGTTCTTTAGATCTTGATGTGCTGTCCTTCAAAAATACATGTTTAGTCATCCTCAGCAAAATAAATGTCGGTGTAGGGATTTTCGTGACGTGCATTCATGATGATGTTAGGGTTCTTACTGGTTCATCGCTTTCCCAGTCATTCGAACGCAGCACAAACTTACGATCTACGACTGCTTTGGCGTACACGAAACTTACGTTGAGGTCCTTCTTTACACACCAGCGGACGAGACTGCAGAGTTTTCTGCACTTTCAGAAAGCCATTGTAGCAAGGTTTTTAGTTTAGTTGTTCGGTTAGATGGATCAGGACCCAATCCAAGTACATTCCCAACGTTCACTTTTTCTTGAAAATACTCAAAAAGTAGAGCATTCACTACATACTCTCTTGTTTTCAGACGAGAAATAGCTTCTTGGCGGAACTCTTCTAGCTGCTGTGTGAGAGCACGACCGGAGGCCAAGTGTGCTAAAATGACCTCTAAACCGAGGTCTACTTCGGAGTGTGCCCAGTCGTGTAAAATTTCATCCGGGGTCATTTCCATGTATCTAACTAAAGGGACGATATAAGGAAGGCACACTCCAGGGAAAGGACTGGGAGCACCTGAGCTCAAAAGACCAGCCAAGGGCTTGAGGGTGCTGTGGTAGAGAATAGCCGTGGAGCAGCACCGGTGGTGAAGGCAGGACCACGTGTGGTGAAGACGCGTTACCTTACGAAGAAAGAAGACTACAGTTAGACGTTTTGCACGAAAGTAACTATTCCAAAATAACTTGCACGTATTGACATACCGTATTTTGTCAAATAAGCACCGCACTTGGAAGAAAAAACGTTACTAAGCGCCGCCCCGAATAAGCCCCGCGGCCCTGATATAATCAAAATCAAAAGACATTAATTCTGTTAAACTGGGAAAAGAAAAATACCGTAGTTGAAACAATTCTTTTTCGCGTCCAACTTTCAATAACGTCGCCCTCGAATAAGCACCGCTTTTAAGCCAACAAAAATTTAATAAGTATCGCGGCGCTTTTTCGAGTAAATACGGTAGCCCCACAGCAAAAGAAGAACGTATGCTACCAAATATTTTCTTATTTCGTGAAGTGACTTTGCTTCGGTCCAGACTTAAGCCATATACTTGGGTCAATGTTTCACTAAAAGAAAGAGATATGGGCTGGTAGCTACGAAAACTGTGTAGTTAACAACGTAACTGTGAGAAAACTACTATGGAAATCACTCTTATACAGAAGGTACATGAACTTGTGAAAATCTTCCAGACCTGACCCACGGAATAAATGAAAGCGCTCATCGTTTCACATAACGAGCTTGATTACGGTAAATCCGGCGCCCTTTTGTTCACTAACGTGTTTTTTGTCTCATCGTCAACTCCGGTAAATAGATATACGACGAGACTGGACACTTTCTACCGAGATTAGACTTCGACTAACACATTTTAGTAAAATCCAACTAGTGGTCTATTATCATTGCTGCGTTCTGATTGGTTGAGCTACTATTAGGCTATATGTTATAGCCCGCTAGTAGCGAAAAGCGCGTGCTTTTTGGCGGCAAAAAAGGGTTAAAGTCTAGCTATAACTAGCTTTTTTTTTTTCTCGATATTTTTGACCAACTAGTTGGATTTTACTAAAACAATTATTCCTCTCGCCCTTATGGCCTCAGAGTCAATAGCCCATGAGGCCGATTGACTCAGAGCCCATTCGGGCTCGAGGAATAATTGTTAATGAGTCGAACTTCACGCTTATCGCATAATTACACACACAGAAGTGTTATGTATTTCAAACACTTACCTGTGGTAAGGCAAGACCCTCCATGACGGCCATAAATGAGATAAGGTTACCGAGCTTATCGCTTAATATATCAGCCAATTCGATGAGCTTACTAAGCACTTTCTCTCTTGTACCTAAATCACCTGCTGCCACCACCAAAGTTGCCACCCAATGAGAAAGATTGGCGAATCTATAAACCAATTTAATGTAAGATCTAAGATTAAAAAACTGTAAGCTCAGACGAGTCACTTTTAGATCTGTAAGCCTCACTGAGTAGGGCTTGTAACCCCGATCTGTGAGTCTTTCAGTCAGTAAAGATAAGCCTCGCCCCACTAAGAGACAGTACACAACCAAAAATCCTTAAGTATAATACTGCATATGGTTTCTTTAAATTATGATATATTTTTCTGATTGTGATACGTTAATTAAGATAGAATAGTACGCGTGGAAATGTTCACGAGTTTGTTTGGGTGAAGCCCGATAAAGTGAGCACCCCAAGAAACTGCATGGAGGATAAAAGTACCGTCGCAAAAAATGATACTCGATGTTCAGCTTTCTTGGAAATCAAAGACTTAAAGATATATGTACGAAGTTTGAGTCTGGATTATGGCAGAAGAGGAGCGAAAAAAGATATTCAAAAAAAGTACGGCCTCCTTACTGCTCACCTTTGTAGTAACTCGGATCTTTTCTCTCTTCCTTGAGGAAGCGTCAATATTTCCAATCCTTTGGCTCCTCCAGTGCCATCCTCAATGCTCCACGAGCAACGATGAGGCTCTTCACCCCACACTAAAACAAGGTCCACGCGGGTTATGTGTCGAGCAAGGGTTAGGCAGTCGGTCTCTAAGAAAGGGGTGAGGAGTTTCTCACCAATTTTCTTCATCACACTTAAAAATATTCCTTTTTTGTCCAGGGGCTTTGGCGATTCAGGCTGCAATCTTGTGGCTGTCTCTTCTGACTTGAAAGCGCTGTCATCGGCTGAGACTGACTTGGAACGTGGGCTGTCGTAAAAATCCTGCTTTGAATGCGGGCTTTGTTCGGATTTTGATCTTGAAAGAGATGGACGCTGTGGTTTTTTCGGTGGCGTAGAGTAACGCAGCTTGGATTCAGCCCCAGTTGGTTTGTCAGATGTATTATTGACTCCCTCAGATGACACGCCTTTGATCTGAGCCGCCGTCAAATTATCTCCTGAATGCCTTTTGTCGGGAAAAACACCATCCTCGATTTTAGACTGCACAGCAAGCAATCCTTCACCAGGGCAGGAGGGTGAAGAAGGTGCGCTAGACCTTGACACAAGCTTTGGTCTAGGCAGCACCTCTTTGTCGGACAATGTTGGGTCTGATTTTCGAAATGACACCACTCTCTTGGGTCTTGGAGGAGGTTTGTCATACAAATCGTCTCGGCTTCCTTTAGGACTGTCATACAACCCCTCCGTGCTGGCTCTAGGCTTGTCATAGACATCTTCTGGACTTTGGTTTGCACTATCATTTAACTGGTTACCCAAGCTGTTTTGGCTACCCACGCTCGGAGGCCTGTCATTCATCGCTTGAGAATAATTCTCGAGCGATGGTTCGTTATAAAAACTTTCTCCAACTTGTGTTTGATCAGGATTGACACTAAAGCTTTCCTCACTTTCGAGAACACAGTTTTCCTCTCTCTTCTCCTCTCTCCTTATTGTCGAATTTTTGGGTTCGGTTGGCTTGTCATAAAAATTGTCTGAATCAACTTTTAAGTCAGGTTTTTCATAATAATGGTAAGGGTCTTCCGCGATTTCTCCTTCAATGTTTGTTTCATTTTCTCCAAATGGCGCCTCATAGAACCTATCTGATATGTTCTCTTCTTTGGAAGCCTTCTCAAGGAACTGCCCTGGGATCTTTTGTCTTTGTTTTGACTGAACTGTACCTATTACGTTGCCTGAGGCTACATGGACACCATTAAGTTTCTCAGACAAAACGTTACTGCCGTTGTTAACAGTAAAATGCAATCCAGGGTCACTATTCTTTCGTGTATATTTGTCCAATTTCTTTTGCCGCAAAGGACCAGTTCCTGGGGCTTTTGGTGGACACCCGTTAGAAGGGCTTGCATTGAAAACATATCTGTTATGAAAGTCATCGGTTGATAACAGAGTGGCATCACGGCTCACGGCGTGCGTAATAACAGCTTGAGTCTTTGGGGACAACGGTTTTCCTTCCGAAACGTAATAGTTGATGAGTTCGGGTATTGAGTCAAAGCTATTTTCAGAATCCTCAGTTCTAAACTTGATCCTCGTCCCTTTGGACGAGTTCACTTTACAGAGAGGCACATGAATAGATTCTCGCTTGTGCCGCACCACTATAAAGCAGCTTCCAGGCTTAGCAGGATCCTCCCGCACCAAAAAGTGCCCGTCACGACGCAAGTAACGCTCAGCAAAATCTGCCGTTATCTTGCCATGAAACCACGCTTGCTTCTCCAATGGCAATTTATTGAATGAATCAGCATCCCCCTTTCCTCGCTTCTTTTTCCTTTTTAGGATATCTGCTAATCTGCAAAACAAAACAAACAAACATATCTGTAAACGCCCCACGAGCATTCCACTGTTCTGCAAAAGGCTCACACAGACAACAAGGTCGTACATATTTAACATCTCTCGCTAAACGTTTGTTTCGAAACTGCTCACAAGTGTTTGGAGTTACAAGTTAAACGCAATGGTAACAACTTATTGAACATATTGTATGCACATTGTTTTACGTAACCTGTTCCAGGCTCTCAGATAGTGGAGCCTGGAACAGGCTATGTTTTACGTCGAAATAAAATAAACACGACTAATGTCCTTGTAAATATAACTCTTTATGTCTCGAGCATGATACATCAATGAAAACGCACGCGAACATCAGCAGTCTCTGTCTTTTGCCATGAACGCTACTTTCGATCCATCACGAAGTTTTAACTTATGAATGGGGTGTTACAAACTACTTTGTAATCGAACACTGGGAAATGTATCTGATTTACGCGCTTAATTATTCACATATACTGTTTCTGCTACGTGGTGAACAAGTTATCACAGTTGGGGCATAACTGACTTCAAGGGGGCAAGAATTTACGACACGAATCCCCGTATTAGAACAATTACATCGACTGAACTAAATTCTACACAGAACACACAAACACCAGTGTTACCTTCTCATGGGTGATCGTGGCCTAGGTATTGTGTCTTGTCCAATCCTTTGCTCAATCTTCACTCTTGCAGGAAGAGTCCTACTTCTACTCCTAAAGTTCTGCGTCTCAGTCGACATAGCTGTTTTCCTTTTTCTTTTCACCAGTTGACAGTTACCACAAACGGATCTACATAATAAGCTTAAAACGGAAAAATATCATCATTGAGATAGACGAACTTAGTCGAAATTCCCGTTGAACAAAAGCTGTCCGTGTTAAACACACTGAAAGCGGATGAACTCCACACGTCAATCGCCATAAAAAATGCTTTGTACTAAATGACGTTTCAAGTGATATTGCTCTCAAGTTACGGGCTTGCAACAAAGAACAATACAGCGAAAAATGTTTCTTCTTTAGCAGAAAAAACTCGTATAAGAGCGGCCTATGTTGCTTTTCTTGCATCATGTTTTTTTTAAACTTTTTTTTCTAATCCAATAATGTGTCCTCATTTTTTTTCTAGTAACACGTACTAGAGATTATAAGATTTTTTTTCATTAATTAACACTAAGTTCTTAAAATACAATAAGATGATATACCTATATTCTTTTTGTATCTAAACGTTCTTGATGCTTCATACATTGCCGTGTAGACGTCGACAAAAGGGAAATAAAGATGAGACGCTAAATGGCAAGGAGACAGTGTCTCGTCTATCCTTACGGTCAATAACTCCTTAGAATTAGTAATACTTTGAACCAAGAGTTTTAAAACTTAAGCTCTACAGATCTGCTGTGCGAGATTTTAAAAGTCTTTTCTTATATGTTAAGACTCCTATACAAAAAACGCTTTTGTTTTCACGCCATGAACATATCTTTCCTAATCCTGACCTGATGCGCAAAGATTGCGTTGCATCGCTCTAAGGATCTTAGAGGAAATTTAATTTTAGTCATTTTAGTCAAATGACCGACAGCTTCGACAAACCGGCATGATTGATTGAAATTCTAGATCTACAAGCGAATGGCCTAAGGAAGATGACGTCACAATCAAGAAAAGAACTCCGAGCCTTCCTTCTTTTTTCAGATTCACCCTCAACCAACTTCTAAAGGCCACAAAAACCGGTCAAAATAGTCAGTGTTTTTGCATTTTTTGATGTTGGCATCTTATAATTTCTGACTAAAGTTATTCAGAGTTTCAGCCATTATGCAAACAAGTCCTTAGTCTTTTCCGATCCTCCAGAATCCGACAAAGAAAACTCAACACCATGACTTTGTAAAATGACGCGCGGTAAAATTACTTCCTAACAACGACTGATACACCGTAGAAAGACTGTAAAAATGTGTATCTTGACTCTACAATCATACTGGCCGTTGCCAACCACGACAATAATTCTAACATAAAAATACGTGAAGGTGTTTCATCCCTTCCGAATCTTCTTATAAAATATACGGTATGGATCGCTAATCTAGCGAAAAATTGACGTGACAGGAGTTCTTTGATTGTATAATTCGCTGACAAATTATCACTCCACGAGACATAAACCCTTTAATTTGCCACAAACAATGAGGGTACAAGTTCGCCTTTTTCCTACCCGGCTATTTGTTTATAGGGTTCTCTTACTCTTATCAATTAGTGATGCTTCCAAACCAAACTTGTTCTTCTAGTGAGACACATGTCGGAAGTTAGTAAAATCCGCAGGTATTCGAAAAAATTGCCCCGAGGTTATGTTTTTGGTGAATTAGTCTTGTCTAGACTTACGCTGCAAATTTCACAACAAAAATGGGAATTTTTTTAATCTTTCTTAAATTTTTCTTTTCTTTTCTTTCACAACCGGAAGTGACGTATTAGAGCTTCTTTTCAGGTTTACTTTCACTTGCAAATGAAGTATATTTGATAAAGGGTTCGCCGAAATGTGCTGAAGCAAGACAGGCTCATACCCAACACGATACAATTCTTGAAGATGAAGAATTCTGCAATTGTAAAGCAGGCCAAGATTTTGCCCTACCCTCTTCTCTAATTACTTCTTATCATACGTAGCATTTCAAGTAGTCAATCAACGGACTCGATTGGTGACCGAATGACCTGTTGATTTCCTACCATTTTAATAACACAGTGTAGTTTTTTAAACGAATTTCCAAGGTATTATGGTCTTAAATTTTCCTCGCTAGAACCAGCAGTGCTTTTTGTGAATAAAAATACGCATAAAAAACTGATCATTTTATTTGATTAATGGTTTGCGGTAATTTGCATTCTAAAATCGCCAACAGAGCGCGATGTCTTGTGTTTACCGAACTTTTTGTTTTCCACTGAGAAATCAAAGAATCATCGGACTGGTCTGTAACCTTTTTCTAACAACGTAATGATGAATTTTTCACCTAATAACGATGAACATTAGTTAATAGTTCCACAACAATAATGGCGTACAGAAAACGAAATGGAATCAATTAGACAATGAATATAGCAGGCCAAAGTACACAATCAACGAAAGAAGTCAACGCCGCATATAACGGAGCACTGTGTACACATTGAAACGCGTATTTAGGAAGCCCAAGCATTAGAAAAGATCGCAACCGCAATTCGGTGTCGAGGATCAACAATCAAATATGGGTAGGGGTAAGAATATTGAGGTTATTATTCTTGACATGAACGACTGAGTGCCGTTTCCAATGTTGGCAACACGCTATATTCACAAAGAGGGCTAAAACCTTTCGAGTTACACGAACGAGATATTTAAGTCTCTAATGTGTCCGGGCATATAGTGTCTAAAATTTCTTTCATGGGTTTTGGAACTGTTAACAGATAACACGAAACATCCTGAGGAGATTAAAACCGGTAGTAATAGTCAGAAACGCGAGCACACGCTACGCAAAATTTCGGGAATAATGGACTCCTGAACTCCACTACAAAGTCACAACAACCGATGTCAAAGACAAAAGAGACAACAAATCTTACAAGAATCGTCCCAAAAGTTTCTGCTTTGGAAAAAGGAAGTGTAAAAAGAGTGATTCTCACCTTATTCATCCAACATTGCCATGAGCCGTCTATTCGATCTCTTTACCATCTAATAAACATGCAGAAACGCTTCACTGACCCTGCGAGAACGGTTATGTGTTAATAATAGAACAATGGTGATTGGTGCAATAAAGTACGGCGTTGTCACTCAGCAGTGATTGATGAAATACAATACTTCTTTCTTCAGTCAACCTTCAAGTGTGGAATCTTCCAGAGCTGTCGTCATCACCGTAGAATTGTCCAAATCCCGCAAAAACGTAGGTGTAGTGTACGGGTAGAACCATCCCGGCTTTTTAACGTCCCTATTAATCCAACCTAAGAATTTTACGGGTGCGGTACGTAACTAACTACCATTACATTACTGCGCGAGTCTTGTCAACTGATGGTCTGTTAGACTGCTCACGGCCTTTGATACAGTTTGGCGTTTTTCTAACCTTTTGTTTCAAAAGTTTAATCCTCGGGGTTTTGTCTCTTCGTCTTGTGAGACTGACAGGAAGGAAATCGGTAGTGCTGTTCATAATTTCTAAAAATGGCTCAATGACTGAGCCCAGAACGTTATGACTACACAAGCAGGGGGTCTTAAATTTGTTTAGAAAGATTGAACTGGTTCTATTTTGTGGTCATGTCAGTCATGCTTTTTTTTACTAAAAACAAAAAGAGAAATAATCACAGGGTTTAACGGGTGTTCACTGTAGAAATTTTTAATCTAAACATTTTCGTCAACTGAAAGCTGACTGGCATGTGACTGGTGGTCATACAATTCCCAAATTCTGCCCTACTTTATTTTTCGGCCCAGTCTGCTGTTAGCCGGGTCAAGCGGTCTTCTTGGTGATATTGTCGGGGAGAGTCTATTTTAAGAGAAAAAATCTAGCTAAAACTCTAGGAGATTGATACAGTTGCTCTTTTCCATATTTCCGGTGCCGCGACCTGTACAAAAAAAAAAAAAAAAAAACAATTGCCAATAAAAAAAATCTTTTTTTTTTTTAATGGTCTTTTTTTTTACTATATATATCCATAAAATTTTAAAATTTTTTAATTATTTTATTATTTTTTTTTTTTTTTTTTTTGTTTATTTATGTTAATGCTTTATTCCTCT